AAAGAACTTCTCGAGGTACCCTATCATATGCCTTTTCTAAGTCAATGAACACCAAATGCAGATCCTTATGAGCATCTCTATACTTCTCCATAAGTTGACGAAGAAGGTGAATAGCCTCAGTTGTTGAGCGACCAGGCATAAAACCGAATTGATTCTCTGAAATCTTCACAGTCCTTCGAAGTCTTTGCTCAATCACTCGCTCCCAAAGTTTCATGGTGTGACTCATAAGCTTAATCCCTCGATAGTTGGCACATTCTTGTACATCACCTTTATTCTTAAATTTTCCATCATTTGCAATGGAGCCAAAGATTCATTATTTTTTGGCTTGATATTATGATGGAATAAAGCAAAATGGCTCACTAAACTGTCTGCGCTTCTTTGTTATGAAGCAGCAGTCAGTGCATGCAATTTTGGACTCAATTTTCACTATGGGTCATCCGCAAACAGTCTCTCTGTGCTTTAGTACAGGGGTAAGACTGCGTACATCCGACCCCCCTTACCCCACCATAGGTTGGAGCCTTTGCGGCACTGGGGTAAATGAAAATGAACATGAGAACCATAAGCGAGGAAAATTAGTATGGCATGAATCAGTGAGGAATAAATAAATACTCCCTCCGTCCCGAAAAGGTTGATCAAATTTCCTTTTTTGGATGTCCCAAAAAGATTTTTCATTTCCATTTAAAGTAAGGAATATGTGGTTAAAATTAATTCTGTCTCCTCTGCACAAATTTCAACCACACAGTTTTTACTTTATTAATCCACGTGAAAGTCAACTTTGGCCAACCTTTTCGGGACGAAGGGAGTATGTAGAAGATCGTACCTCGAAGCAGGACTTCAAGGCGCTCTTTGTGGCCTCTGAAGACGAGTGTGGTACCAACTCCACACTAGAGTGGCATACGAATTCCCTCCACGCCTCGATGGCCGAGCGACCGAGGGTGGGTGGGTCCATCTTTTGGACATGTACGGTAGTCGGGTCGATACGGGCCCGTTTTGGGGGTTTTTCTTTGGCGGCTTATGGTGACCTTCAAAGGTGAGACCTCCAGGGCGGCAGTCTCAGAGCCGGAGACGTCCCCCTGGGCAGCAGGAATGGACAAGGAGGCTGAGACTACACCAGTATCAGCTTGTTGAGCGGCGTGGGAGGCTTCTAAAGTGGCCTCGAAATTCTGGGCCTAACGACCAACATCTGCCTTCCCTTTTAACGCCTTGGCAGCTTTGGCATCCCGCGTAAATTTCAGCGCATCAACATCCATTGTTTTCTGAGTTGGAGGAGGACATGCAATGTAAAGGACAAGTATTAGAACCGAGCGGTATGAATCCAAAAGGACACCCACCTAGCAGGAACAGAACCGCCCGAGATCTCGATATGGCTTAGAGGGGAAATCATCCATTCCAGAGAAACGGATGATACCTATTCTTGCATCGGCAAGAGCTCTGAAAGTAACGTAAGGCTCCAGATGCTCAGAGACCCCTTCTTTCACTTTATTTACGGCCTCCTCTAATTCATCGGTGAGGTGAGGCGACCCTATCTTCGACGAGTATCCATTCCACCGCTCGGGCAGTTGACCCTGGGGGAATTGGATGAAGAAGAAGCGGTATTTCCAGTCATGGATGGACGAGGGGGCCTCATGGAAGAGTTTCTGTCCCGACCGAGCGTTGATGCTTAGGAACCCGTCAGAGTTCTGGGGGAAGAGTTTGAAGAAGTAATGGAACATGTCCAAGCTCGGATTCACATCCCTATGAACACATCACACAATGAAGGATGAGACAAATTGAAAGGAGTTGGACATGAACTGGGCTGGGATGACCTGATAACAGTGGAAGAGGTCGAGGTAGAACGGATGAAGGGGGAGTCACAACCCTGCGTTTATTGAATCTAGGTGAACCATCAACATGCCAGGGCATCTTTTCATCGGTTGATCCACGCCACATAGGCTATAGACGTTCGGCGGGGGAAGATACAACTCGAGATCTTTTAAGGCCTGGTCGGAGAAGAATCGCCCACAACTGTGGGTGTTCCACAACGGCACCACGTGGTGCGGCATGTCGCGGGGGTTGCCCTTATAAAAAACCATCACGTCATCTCCGAAATAAGCCTCATCACCCGAGTCACCTTCTTCGGATTGAGATCCAGTGATGTTTTCGTGAGCGGCTTCCTCAAGAGCAGCATTATATTGGACAATGCCCTCTTGGGCGTCATCGGGGAGGACGACCCTCCCATCACCAGCATCACCGACGACACCTCTAACCGAAGGCGAGGATCCGGTGCTACCGAACGTACCCGTTTCTCCCAAGGAACGAGACCCCGAATCCGACTCAAAGGACGAATGGAAATCCATGGCTACCTCCTACCGAATGCGAGGATCCGATGCCACCGGACGTACTCGTTTCTCCTGAGGAACGAGACTTCGAATCCGACTCAAAGAATGAATGGGATTCAATACTGATACCCAAGGGTTAATAAAGAGAAACGAAAGGGAAATTACCTAAAAAGCTTGAGACGAGCGAAGCGAATAACCAGGGAATCTGAGTGGAAGAGCGGTGAGCATTTGAGAGAAGATGATCGAAAGTTTGGAAACTTTTAACTATCCAAGGGAGCTGGTATTTGTAAGGGAGTCCACCGCCTAGTGGACCCGTAAGTATGCAACACGTGGCGAGGAGCGTACCCCAGCACACGTGTCGCGCGCAGCTCAACAGGCATGTAATGATTGCCTTTGCCTTGGGAATTGTTGCGGCCGACGTAACCGTCATCTAAAGTTTCGGGAACCGCCTAATGAACTGTCACATTGGGACCACTGAAGGGCTCGGTTTAGAAAAACATGTATACTTTCTTATGTCCTGTGCACGTTCGGAACATCAGAAGTGGGGGACTTGTGTTGGGTTAATAGGCCCAATAACGGATTGACCCATTACCCCTTAGCAAGAAAATCATCAAGGGCCAATTTGGGCGAGGTCAGGCAGATGTGCCGGTTGGACGCTCGTCAGGTCCACCAGGACGCTCGGCCTTCATGGCCTTGGCCCAACAAGGACCAGATGACATTCCATGGTTTTCGGACGGGCAGTTCATAAAGCTAAGTGGAGCCTCACCCTTGCACTCATCTGGATCCAGGACCCAAGATCGGGGGGATGCTCGGCTTGGTTCCTTGACGGGAACCAAAATATTGGCGGGAAACGCATTTAATGCAGTAGATTTGGTGCTTGGGAAGCTAGCCACCACAATCATCCACATCATGAACATCACCCACCCCTTGGCAGTATAAATAGTACTCCATAGCATTTATTTCATTGTAAAGAGTTGGCAACTTATTCCCTCTAGCAATAGCAATTATCTCCTCTCCTCCTAGCTGAGATAGACGATCGGCATGTTGGCTCGTAGTGAAGTGTGTTGTAAGAGACCTCTTATCATTGATTGAATGAGATGCGACCCACTTACTACGCTCTTGACTTGTGCTTCCTTTGCTTGCTTGCGTCATATTATCCACATATTCCATTCGAAACTCAAGGGAAGATGTTGATCCTTTAGAGTTGAAGGAATAAATCTCAATAGAACGCCTGAGTAAAACACTCGTTATACTCATTATTGTATAACAAAAACTCATTTGAATAATCAGACTTAATAGGGCTAACCTTAAAACGCTTATGCCGGTGTATATTCGTTGTAAATATTATACTCATTTGGATATGACGTAAAACTCACTTTTGTACTCATTTGAAAGTAGTAGAAAATTATTTAAATCAACTCAAAACAGAGAACTACTACAAATTATGCAAAATAAATGATACATAGTCAATACCTTATTCAAGCACAGTAAAGAATAATTAAAATTCGCTCAAGAAATGAACGAAAATTCACTTTGGAAATTTTACGAGCTGTCGGTTGGCATCCTTATTTATGATGTTTTTACTTGGACTATTTTCAGTCCCATATAAGATTAAACCAGACTTAAACAGACGAGACCATACCAGACTTAAACAGGTCAAACCAGATCATACTTCCATAGTTATAAAATATACATAGACTATACATTTACCAAATCAGATCAGTTCAATTCAAACCAACCAAACTAGACTAGATTTAAACAAAGCATACCACATGAGTACCAAATTTCATTAAGGAAAACATCCAACAATTCGGAAAATAATACGGAGTAGAGCGAGACAAATTATACGAGAATTTGCCTAGTAGGTTACAGACCTGATAGATAGGTGATGCTGTAATTGAGTAAGGGAGTTGATTTATGCACCTCCAAAATTGCTTAATCTAACCCTCATAAGACACATTTGCCCTTTTTAATTCTTTATACTACATACTTCGTACGAACTATTAAAGCAACTGCTCCCCACGTGTTACTCTAAAAACATTTTGAGAATACATAATTTTAAAAACAACCGCTCTCAAAATAAGGACTCCCAAAGACACCCCCAACAATTTTTTAAATGGGTAAAAATTATATTTAAATTATTTGTTATTAATAAATAAAATAAAAATTATATGAAAGAATAGCTAAAATAATACTTTACAGTAATTTCAGCTAATACAGCCACAAAAGTAACTACATTATTACATTTTCTTATTATTACACAATTCAACGCGCGAAATCAAAACTTAGGTGTTTGGTTAAAACTGACTGATAAACCTGATAAGCCGAAAAAAATGTCATCAAACGGGTTCTTAGTGTATTATTGTTTTTTGTAAGTCATACACAAGCCATAAAATATTTAAAAAAATGATCAAAATACATTATTTGGCAACATGCTTAAAACTAAGTATTCAAATTTGTTTAAATCTAGAGTATATAAAAGCAAGACAAAATTAACTATATTGGTAAGATGAGATCATCAAAACAGGAAAAAAACCATACAGAATACCAATTTGACAGGAAAAGAATCATGAATTATAGTCGATCAACTCAAAAGACAAATAAGCTTGGTATCGTTGGGTGAAAAAAAAGTGCTAGAACATGAACTATGAACTTAGCGTCTATGCCTAGAAGTGAGGCAATAAAAAATGAAAAGAAAGGTTAAAATTGTCCGACGGTGGAGAAAAGTGGATGCGCTAAGTATTAAACCTGATGCGCGCAGCACGGCCTTTGAGTAACCAACCCATCCACGTCAAGAAATTCTCATTACCTGCGCGAGGTTCTTTATCGAGTGCAGTACGCAATCCCCCGTCCCAATCTCCCATAAAGGATAGCTAGCGAAAACCAGAGGTACATAGATAACAATGGCTACTCCAGCACCCAAGCGATGGCTTCCTCTTGAAGCTAACCCCGATGTCATGAATCAGGTTAGGCTACCCCTGCTCGTGATGCCTCCTCAGTGTTCATTTCTCCACCATCTCTGTCCTTCGAGTGCGTAATTGTGTCTTTTTTCATTTTTGTTCTTAATTCTGATCTCCTATGCTAGTGAACCTTTCACGTTGTTGGGAACAATAAATTTTGAGAGAATTTATTTTGTTTCTCTTGAATGAGTTTTATCCTTTGATAGCGATGTTGTTGCTCTAGTGATATATGAGAATTCATTGGATTGTCCTGTGAAATGCTAAACAAAAGAAATGTGTTGACTTATTGTGTATGAGAGAGCACATATACCAAATGCACTAAATATTTGGTATGTTTATGTGATTGAGCAGTTCATTTGGGGTCTTGGTGTCCCAGAGGATCAGGCTGAGTGCTGTGATGTTTATGGCTTGGATGTGGAGCTTCTCGACATGGTCCCTAAGCCAGTGTTTGCAGTCCTTTTTCTGTATCCTATCACTTCTCAGGTTCATATTTGTAGACTAAGCTCATTAGTGATGTGCTTTTGGCCGTTTATGGGACTGGTCAGCTCAGCAATTCATTCTGTGTGTGTTTTCAGAGTGAAGATGAGAGAATACAGGAAGACAGCAAGATAAAGGTGAACATGATGATTATTTGATTATTGTCATTGTATCTGACCACATAGCTTACAAGAGTCCAATCGGAACTGTATTTATGATTGATTAATTGTATTTGTAGGATATTAGTAATGGAGTTTTCTTCATGAAGCAAACAGTGGGAAATGCATGTGGGACAATTGCCCTTCTCCATGCTGTTGGTAATATCACTTCAAAGATAAAGCTTGGTAAGTCACCATGGTTTTGCTTCATAGTGTTAGTACATGTTTCTGTAGCCGTTTTATTGATTACATAAACTAGAATTCTTACAAGTGAAAAACAGCAACATCACTCATTAGCTCAGTTAGTCTAATTTTTAAAACATATTAAAAGGCAGGCCAGGGACAGAACCACCAGGGCATCAGGTAGACTATTGAGCTTAGGACATTTAGGTAACTTTTGCCTAAAGTTACCTAAATGTTTCTGAATATCTATTAAATGATCTTACATGGTTTAAACGGTGTATTAAACTAAACCAAATGGAGTACGAAAACAAAATGTCTGCTTTCGTGTGCTACCCTATCTATCAATAATGCCGATTAAAATTCCTTTTATATTTGAGCAAGGAGCACATGCTTTCCGGAAAAAAGTTTTTGAATATTGCGTATCCATGAGTTCCTGGGAGTCTATCATATTTTAAAAAATCAACCCCTATTAATTTTTATAGAAATTGCCCTGAATAGGAGTAAAACGTTTTGAAATTCCAAAATAGGACTTTCATGTTTTTATTCCCTAAATAGGAGTAATTTTGCCAAGTTTGGCATTACTAGGCTTTAAACATGGCAGTTTTTTTCCAAATTTGGCAATAATTACTCCTATTTAGGGAATAAAAACATGGCAGCCCTATTTTGGAATTTCAAAACGTTTTTACTCCTATTTAGGGAGTTTTCCCTAATTTGTATTGGCTTCCGGGAGAACTTGGGGTAGTCATTTTCTCTAGATAATCAACTTCGTGTACAACGTTATTTGGTCTATTCCTTTCGCTGGACTTTTATTGTAAATTTGTAATCCATAGAATTGGAAACTAATCAGGACACCCTCCTTTAAGACTTCAAAATACCTCTTACTTTAACCATGTCAAACATTAAGAGGAGTCATGAAGTACTTTAATTCCCATACAAGAATAAATTATCAACCACTCAGCCACACATTTCTTTCCTTAAAAGAAAGTGAGAAGATCACTTTGGGATGGATAAAAAAGGAAAACTAGATGTTCTTTTCGGGACAAAGGAAGTACATAACAGTAGCACTAATATGAATGAATCATTATACGAATATGAGCTTTGCAATGACAAGTTTACTACAAAGTTCTTTTCAGTTTTAGCATCTCAAATCAGTACTTGAGCTCTGCTGCCTATTGGTAGCGAGTAGGGTCTCAATTAAATTCGGGCAAGTGACAAGTGTGTTGCCGTATGTTTAGTTAGCATCTCATTTTAAACCAAGTTTCTTGAATTTATTTATGAAGGTGATGGTATTCAGTTTCATGGTTGTATGGAATTTGCGTTTCGTGAAAATAGAAAGTCAAAACATAGGCTCAGTGCTATGGGAAACTGAATAGTGAATACACTTTGAAATACATTTTACTATTTTTGTTTGAATAACCCTGTTTATTCAGTGTTGCTATTTTTTGAGAACCTTTTACAGTTGAAGGATCATTCCTCGATAGGTTCTTTAAATCCACTGCAAACATGGATCCATTGGAGGTATCTATGTTGTTCATTATCAATGGTAAATGGTTGAAACACCACATGCATATACCAACATTCTAATTCGTGCTCGCATAATTGTGTAGCGGGCCAAATTTCTTGAGAGCGATGTGGAAATGGAAGATGCACATTCTGTAGCTGCTACTGCTGGAGATACTGAGGTCAGTGCTGGAATTTGCTTGCTTCTATCAAATTATTCAAACTTCTCTTTCATTTTCTTGGGGTGGGGGGTGGGGGTAAATGGTTTACAAGACCTATCCTTGACCACTTGAGCCAATACACTTTCATAAAGTTTGCTCAAGTTTATAAATGCGAAATATGAAGTGCTATCTCTATCCCCTAAAAGAGCCTTGTTTGACCAAGAAACAGCTTTTAAATTTCAGCAAGGTACAACAACCATAAACCATGGATCTTACATTCCACTTGTTTTTTTCTTTAACTATTGTATATATCCATGTTGCATACTGCTTTACACTTGCTTACGACCCTCTTGATGACTGTCTTTTTATAATCAGTCATTTTCGTGCAACGAATTATATCCACGAATTACTATATACCACTAACTTCAAAATGCTATGGTGGTGTACCAATGGATTTTAAACGGAGCATTTTTTTTACTAATTACTTCGTATAAAAGATGCCCTAATAAGCTTGAATGAGTAAGTGCAACGTACCAAATCAGTTCCTTTTTTTAATGATTATAAGTTAGATTGGATCCTTATCTTATCATTTCAACCTTTTTTTATCTTATCTTGTTTTCTTTTTTATCTTCTTAACTCCAATTTCTGATGTCGATTCATGTTAGCCGAGCCCAAACTCTTTTGGGACTAAGGCTTGGATGTTGTTGTTGTATGTTAGATTGAATGAGTAGTGCAATGTAATAGAAATGCTTTCTATTTGCCTTTTGAGTTGTGCTTTTAGAGCTGACAAGTTGACCCTACAGGCATCAGATAATGTGGACACACACTTCATCTGCTTTGCAATTGCTGATGGTACATTCTCTTTTCTATTGGTCTATTTAGTGGGAAATAGTTTCCTTTTCAGCTATGAGTTCATGAGGTGTTCTTTTATTCACGTTAAAATATAATGCTCCCTTTGCATTGACATGATCAAATTTTGTGAGGCTGATTTATTGCTTCAATTATTCTCTGCATATAGAGTACCTTTGCATCATGTTACATTTAATCTGTATATTGTCTTAGTATCCAACCCTGGTGCCCATATTTCCCCATCGAATGGGAAAATATTCATGCACATATGTGGAAGAAAACCATCATTTCATTTAGTAGCCTCTTAAAACTGAATTGTTTGAATGCCATTAGCTTCCATCTCTATTTCTTGGCTGCAAATAATGATTGAAATATAATGCATGCCTTTGCAGAACAACTATATGAACTTGATGGAAGAAGATCAGGACCGATTTCACATGGAAAATCATCTCCAGACACATTACTGCAGGTAAAAGATGGCAGTGTTGAGTTTAAGCAATTTTTTTTGTGTCGCATTTCCTCTTGATAAAAATGTCGCCCAAATTAAATGTGCAGGATTCAGCTAAAGTCATTCAAAAGATGATAGAGAAGAATCCCGAATCCAACAACTTCAACGTGATCGCTCTATCAAAGAAAGGTGAAGCTGATGCCCTCTGAAATCAGTGTTGCTTACTTTATAGTACGCCTCTTTGAGGGTCAAACTTTTGGCTTTAGAATGGATTATATTTTCTCATGACTGCTACAATTTTTGCCTATTACTGTGCACAAATTTTTGCAATATCTATCTTGCTTCCTACTACATATATACCGTATTGATTAGAAGATAACAGTGTCTAAGGGTGTTCTACACCGCAATTGAAGTATTTTCATACGCTCAACAACTCTCTCTGATACTCCCTCCGTCCCATTTAAAGGTCCCCGTTCACTATTCTGCGGTCAACGTGCATCATTCTTAATCTTTACTTTATATATCCAACTTTTATCAAATTTAAATTGTCTTGATCAGGCTTTGTAGTGGGTTTAATGTAATTTTTCCTACTAAAAATAATTCTACTAATGAAACTTTATGGTTAGTCAAACATCGTAAACCGCGTGGGAATGTTTAAACTCCTGTCCAGTGCCAAACTATACATAGAAAAATGCAGTTAACTTCAACGAATTATTTGACTGCCTTCCCGATCGAATTTTGAGCTGAAATTTTGTATGGATAAACTAGACTGGATGAGGAATATGCTCAAAAAATTTCATCAAAATATTTCACCGGGAACTGCCCCAAACAGCGGTGTTCGGACCGGGAGGTGCTGGACCTGAGAATTTTCCTATATATATATATATATATATATATATATGGAGCGGATCAGATGAGAAGTGTCCTTAGGCTAAGAGCTGTGAAACTAACTTATAGATTGAAAACAGGAACTTTTAACCAATAAATCATAACTTATAGACCCCTCGAAATAATTACGAACATGCCACCTTGGAAATTTTTGGATGCGGTAGCATTTTCGTAATTACAATGGAGAATTTTATAAGTTATGATTTATTGGTTATAAGTTCCTATATTCAGTCTATAAGTTTACTACGTTGCAAGATCACATGCAAATCCAAGGGTTATTTCTCACTTTTCTCACCTGATCTTTCTCTCTCTCTCTCTCTCTCTATATATATATATATATATATATATATATATATATATATAGAGAGAGAGAGAGAGAGAGAGAGAGAGAGAGGTTCAAATACAAAGTACTCCGTACTACTTATATGTAAAATGAGAAGTAATCTTAGCCGTTAAAATGAGAAAACGAGTGGATCAGATCAATTTTTAAGGAAAATATTCGGTGCCAAAAGTGTAATTATTCAAAACTTTTTTGAAAACTAACGTGACAAATGTGCATCACTACGTAGGAAAAGTGCATTAGACTCATAATAAAGTGCATTACTTTTCGGAAAAAACATAACAAGTATAAAGATCGTTCCTGGTGTTTTGCTATATTGCATATGCACTTTTGCTATAAAGATCGTTAAGCCTCACATTTTCACATTTTCACATTTTCATGTTAAGCCTCACATGTATGGTGCGGTTCTAGTGAAAACAATTCTTAACGTGAGAAATGAGAACGCTCTTGAATGATGCAATTTATCGTTCACGAAAATGTACATTTATTTATAGTTAAAGTAATGCAAAATTCAAATGTGCACATTTACGTTTATAATTGAAATACACATTTTGCAATTTCTTATATGCACATTTCTGTTTTACATGATGCACAAACCTAAATCCATCGCTCTAGAATCATTCTGATTTCTCTCCTAAGATGATATTCTCATATGATCCTTACTATATATATATATATATATATATATATATATATATATATATATAGAGAGAGAGAGAGAGAGAGAGAGAGAGAGAGAGAGAGAGAGAGAGAGAGAGAGACGTTCCTATCAAGATGGCATGACTGAAATCGTTGTCCGGCCAAGCCCATTTGAGGAGTTTCTGGGTGGAATTTTTTGAATAAATTTTGTGAGCATGTTCTTAATGAAGTGTAGATTATCTCCGCCAAATTTCAATTTAATATTCGATCGAGAAGTTAGTTAAATAAACTATTGAAAATAACTACGCTTTTTATGTATACCGAACCTGAATGTGCAAAGTTTTAGTCCATATGTGTAATGTACATAGAAATGCATTCATAAGTGCTAAAAAATATTACTCCCTTTGTCCGTAATAACACTTCCATAGTATAAATGGCATGAGGATCAAAATAGTAAGTATTATGTGGTGGAGAGTTGTGCAGATGAGAGATAAATGTGTAACATTTATTGTGAACCATAAATTCTTTACAAAAAAAGAAAAGTTGGAAGTTCTTTTAGGGACGGAAATCATATTCTGTAATCTATAAACATTTTATTTTAGTTATTTATGCTTACATTTTTGTATATGTTCTCCATGCACTTTTGTCACCATATTTTGATTTAATGTTATTCATATTTATAATAAACTCCCTTTGTTCTTTCACTTTTGTCAACTTTCTTTTTATGTTATTCCACTAAGTTTGTGGGTTCGGTTAAATTTCTCTCATTTGCACAAATTTTAACCACACTTTTTACTTTATTAATGTCTCTGTCGGTCAAGTTTGACAAAGTTTTAAGGGACGGAGCGATTATAATGCTATCATATACTCCCTCCTTCTCCCTGTTATTGTCCCATTTCCTATTCACTTGGTCAACACAAATCACACTTAATCTCTTACTTTATGTATCAAATTTTTATCAAATTTGATTCTGGTTTTTGCGACTTTGTAATTTTTTTAATGTAGTTTCCGATTCCCTAGCTCATGCTCTAATACATAGCATGTGCGTAGATATATAGGATCTATCTTAACTACTTTGTGCTAAAAGAACCAATAATGCTAATCAACTTTCACCAAACCAAATATTCAAATGAACCAATCAAGATTTGATTTTGTTATTTGATACGGAGTATATGTTTATTGAAAGTGAAAATATCATATGTATTTTTTGTTGATTATACAGAGTTACCTATGCTAGTAGTAGATAATGGGAGAGCTCGGAGTAGAAACTACAATGGATCGATGTTATATTTTTTATGCACACTCCTAGTCATCTTCTTATGGACATCATTATGTAACTTTAAATATATACACTGAAACTATACTATATACACACATATTGATGGATAAATATTATCGAGGACCGAGTACCCGAAATGATGTATTTCTTGTATTGGGCCTAGCCTGTTCTTTGCATCGGCTCAATGGCATTTTGTGCACCCGAGGATCCTGTTTATATTTGATGTATTCTTTGTATTGAGCCTAGCCCGTGATTCCCTAGATCAGCCAGATTCTCCTTATAAATAATCCGTGTTGTAACCTTAAAAGGGAGTGATGAAACGGTTAGCAACACAAGAGGGGGGGTGAATTGTGTGTGTGTGGAACCGTGGCAGTTTTTCGCACAGTTCTAGTGTGGGGTTCAGGGAATTACGAAATAATAAAGTGCACAAGGATTTAACGAGGAAAAATCCCTTGGCTCAAAGGGATTAAAAAACCTCGACCTCCCTCGGAGGAATTTGAACAACTTCACTAAAAAGCCTTTGAATGATTACAAGGGAAACTCTCCTAGTCTACCCTTGAGCCACCCCAACTCTATCCTCTCTAGGAAGAGTTATGCTTCTCTACCTTGTGGGTAGAGAGCCTCTCAGCTTTACAACAAAGCTCTCACAACACACTAATTGACCCGAGGATGCTACACTTAGTCAATCCTCAAAAAACCCAATTACAATATGAAGAAAGGAAAAGGAAACTCTGTTTGGAACTCCGTGAGCAGGTTCAGGTGCCTTGGACTTAGTAGATATTCTTGTGTATATTTCTCAATAGAAGCTTGGTCAAGCACACCCTTTCGTCTGGTCTTTAGTCCAATATATATAGCATCCGTAGCCTCTTCTTTCCTTTTATTCAAAGATCTTCCGGCTCACAAATATGGTGATCCTCGGTCAACCATATATATATGGAAGTAAGTGGATACGTGCATACTATGAGTAAATTACTCGATAACAAAACAGATATGGAGAATATTACGTATTGCAATGATAATTCCACATGAATATATATATCATTACATATAAGGAGAATACTTTATTCGGACATTATGTAGCAACAACATTTTTATACAATCAATGATTAGTTCTCTTTAACAAGTTTGAATATGTAACGATCATATAAGTAAGATATTCAAATAAGGTGCTACAGATCATGCAAGCCAAGATACTTTCCAAAATATTTAACATTAAGTGATAAGGAAATGTTTACTTAGTGGATCCAAATATGCTACGGTCAATTTATGCAGGATATTTATGTAGCATAAACAATGATTCTTTCCATAAGCTATAAAGCTATATAGGCCAACTCATAAAGGTGAGTGCTTAGTCATACATGGAAAGATATTTAAATTGTGCCACGTACATTAAGAATATGCATGATCAATCTAGGCACGTAGATGAGGTATTATCATGCAGGCACATATTAATTTATTCATTATGCACAACAATCAGTCATATAGATCAGAACTAAGTATAGTTCTAATTTTCGTTCCTAATAGAACTGAGAGCAGTTCTGTCCGCCATTACACCTACATGGTTAGTCATCAACAAAACAACATATTCAACAAATTCACCCTTTTTGTTGATGACAAACATTAGGTGCCATAATAAAGGTGTCCCTGCAAATTAGTAACAGTCGGTGTTTTTATGTAGCAAAATAAGCAGGCACCTGATTATTTCCCCCTTTTGGCATCAACCAAAAGGAAACAGAAAATAACCAAAACAGTGCAAAGTAAAATTTCAAAGTAGGACAACTTGTTAAGATGTTAATGTAGCAAAAACCCTCCCCCAGAAAAGAAATGTTTAATCATCCTCAGAAGAATAAATTATTCTTCGATGAGTCGAGCCAGATTCACAGAGCCGCTCCGCCACTTCCTGTTTGAAGGATTGGAAATCATTCCGAATAGCATTGGTTGTATCAGCCAGTGTGTCCACCTTTTTTGCCAATGCAGAGATGGAGTCTGAAAGGGAAGCAAATTGGTGTTGAATATAACGTTCCAGGAGATCTATGCGGTCAGTGATTGGGGGTACCACCATCATTGGGTCGACGGAAGGAACAGGAGTTGGTTTGGGTCTGGGTTTTTGTTCTGAAGAAGAGGGATCTGTTGGTTTAGGAAGAAGGTGAGAATTTGATATAATTAGTCCTAGATTGCTGAGACATCTCTTGTCCAGGACCTTGCAGGCTTCTTCAGAGGAGAATTTGTCTAGAGTAATGCCCTTAGATAGAAATATTTTGGTGAGTAGTGGGGCATATGGAATCCCAATCCTTCGGGATGAGGAACTGATGATAGAACTTAGATGGGCCATCATCAATCCAGGAAGGTTGATAGGAACTTTGTTGGCTAAAAGGTACATATATGCCAGTTCAACTCTAGAGGGTGTGAATCTCCCTTCTAGCCTAGGAATCAAGTTGTGATGAACAAAGTAAAACAGTAGTTTGGGAATCGGGGCAAGGCTCGCAACATGAAGAGAGGATTCGGAAGTGGTTGGGTTAAAATATTCCAGTGCAACTGTTTGAGAGGTGTTGGTTAGGGGCCACTCGGTTTTGTTATATTGGCATATACCAGTACATGGAACACCCAATATTTGACCTAGATCACTCACATTTAACAAAATTTTTGTTCCTTGTACCTTAGAGGATAAGAAACTGTCTTTGATAATAAGATTAGCCAAAAAATCTGAGATGAGTTCAGGAAACACAGAGGGGCAATTCTGGGAATCAAACAAGGTTTCCCATTTTTGGAACGAAATAAGCTCAGTAAAATCAGAGGTTTTTCGAGTAATATCACCAGAGGAGATGGAGAGTACCTTAACTATTCCCCGGGAGAGATATTCCTCCTTGAGTCGTGCGGCGTCTTCCTCGACTACCCTCCCCATCCTTGGATATTTTTTGGTGGAGCCCTTTTCGGAGACGATTCCCTCAGCGATTGCTCTTTTCCGGGTGTAGTTTTGGGGCAACACCTTTCCGTCGCGAGTGGTTGGTTTTCCTTTGGGAGGTTTAATTGGTGATGGAGAGTCTTTATCTTGTTCCCCCTGAGAGGACGCCGGGAATGGTGGTAAGGAGTCACCAGATTCGGAGTGCATGGTCGAAGGAGGTGAGGCTTCGAGTTCAATCGGGGTAGGTGATGAAGGTGGGGGTGGTTGTACGCTTCTTTTCCGGCTAGAACGACGAGGAGCAGTTGGAGGAGCGTAGCCTCTGGTTTTGACCATGGCGGTTTTAAGAAGGAGAAGAGGGAGGAGGTTATGGAAGGTTTTTAATATGGAAGTGGGCGGCGTGTTGGTATACGGGATACTTTCCCACTTCCCAAAATTTTTTAATGATTTCCTTCCAAATAGGAAGTGGCCGGTTGTGTGGCAGTGTCTTCCCCCCCAAAAAAAAACACTGATAGTTTAAAAGCTGAAAGATTTCAGTTTTAAATAAAGATTTTCTTCTTAAGTTGTTTCCAAAAGAAATTTTATGAAATAGTTTTAAGCATTGATGAGACCAAGTTCAAGTCGAATTAATTCAAACCTTTCTCTTCCCAGGGGCTTTGTAAAAATGTCGGCAATTTGCTTGTCGGTGTTGCAATATTCTACCTTGATTAGCCCCTTTTCCACGCAATCTCTCAGAAAGTGATGCCGGATGTGGATGTGTTTTGTTCGTGAGTGCATGACTGGATCCTTTGAGATGCTAATTGCGCTAGTATTGTCACATAGAATTGGTGTGCAATTTAGGATGATCCCGTAGTCACTTACTTGTTGCATGATCCACAAGGATTGTGAGCAACACGATGCGGCTGCTACATATTCGGCTTCGGCTGTTGAAAGAGCAACTGAGTTCTGTTTCTTAGAGCTCCATGAAACCAGGCAAGGACCTAGGAAGTGAGCCGTTCCAGATGTGCTTTTTCTGTTTAATAGATCACCTGCAAAATCAGAATCTGAATATGCAATAAGATTAAAATCCTCATTACGTGGATACCATAAACACAGATTCATAGTTCCTTTGAGATATTTGAGTATCCTCTTGACTGCTTTGAGGTGAGATTCCTTGGGATTTGCCTGGAACCGGGCACATAGACCTACGCTGAAAACTATGTCGGGTCTACTGGCAGTTAGGTATAGTAGAGACCCAATCATTCCTCGTTATTTCTTTTGGTCTATGTTGGTTCCTGCTTCGTCTGCATCCAGTCTGTCATTTGTTCCCATCGGTGTTGTCATTGTTTTGCCTTCACTTGCTCCATACTTCTTGAGAAGCTCCTTGAGATACTTTTATTGAGATATTTGAGTTCCTTTACTTGTTTGTTTGATTTGGAGACCAAGGAAAAAATTTAATTCACCGATCATACTCATCTCGAACTCGGAGCTCATAAGAGAAGAAAATTCATCACAAAGTGAGTCGTTAGTAGCACCAAATATAATGTCATCTACATAAATTTGAACAACCAAGAGGGATTGATCTTTTATTTTTAGAAAAAGTGTTTTATCTATTTTTCCTCTTTCAAAACCATTTTCCAAAAGAAATTTAGATAGACGTTCATACCAAGCACGTGGTGCTTGTTTGAGCCCATATAGTGCTTTATCTAGTTTGAAAACGTGATTAGGTAAATCTGGATATTCAAACCCCGGTGGTTGTTCAACGTATACCTCTTCCTTAAGATAACCATTTAAAAATGCTGTCTTGACATCCATTTGGTGGAGGGTGAAACCCATATGAGCCGCAAACGCTATGAGCATTCGGATTGCTTCTAGCGTTGCCACCGGTGCGAATGTTTCATTGAAATCTATTCCTTCTTGTTGATTATAGCCCTTGACGACTAGTCTTGCCTTATTTCTTGTGATCTGTCCGTGATCATCAAGCTTATTTTTAAATACCCAATTGAGACCAATTACGGTTTTATTCTTGGGTCTTGGTTCTAGATGCCACACATTGTTTCTTTCAAATTGATTTAGTTCTTCCTGCATAGCTAGAACCCAGTCAATATCGGAGAGAGCCACTTCATGGTTCTCCGGTTCTATAAGTGATAAGTAAGCAAAGAAAGTACAGAAATTTCTTAATTTAGATCTCGTTGTTACTCCCTGATTTAGATCTGTTAAGAGGTTATCCAGGGGATGTGATTGATGATGTTTCCATCCTCTTGGAGCGTTGGGTTGATCCACAAACTCGTAAAGGGTATCTGGACCTGGACCAGCTGGTTCTTCACTTGGACTAGTCGTGGTCAGTCC